TAATGTTTAAAAAAGTCCTTTCTTTCAGAACAAACTTAAATACATTATAATCCATTTAGTTGAAAACACAAGGTTAGCAAAATACTCAAAATACCCGATGTGAAATATTATTTAAAAGTTTGCGAAATAGCCAGCCAAAATAGGAAAATAAGAAAAATCGACATCATTTTGAAGGTGTTCAGCGTTTTCACATCCCATAAAATGGTACAAAAAGTTTTAATCAAGTTCCATCGCCGTCGTTTAGTGAACTTAGTGCCTCTAGCTTTGTGTTATGTTTGTAGATAGATCAAGAAAATTCGCTTGCACATTTGCTTACATTGTAAGGTTGTTAAGAGGTACTGCACGTTTCAGTCAAGAAGAATTGTTCATTGTATAAGAACAAGAAAGTCATTTTCAACAGACTTGAAAGGTGTAAAACACAGGACAACTAATGTTGTCTGTGTATGTTCGCGAATTCTATGCGGACAAAAGCACTGACTTCAAAAGAAATAGAAGACTTCAAAGCAATGTGATTTGCCCGAGCCTGTAAATATTTGATAATTTCATTATATTATGCATACTAGTATCGCAAATTTTTAGAGCAAAGATGAATTATGTATAACTTTCAAAGGTGTCTACTGTACTGCTTTTGTCAATAATGCTTTGAAGCGGCAGCATTCAATGTCTTTATCTCATTAAATCTTTTGATCGAAGTAGCATGAAAGTTCATGCTACACACAAACGTTTAGAGGAAAATGGAAAAAGAAAAGCAATTCTCTTTTCTATACTTTAGAAACACACTCATGAACCACAATCAACCGAACTTAGAATAGAAACACTTTGAATTTATCTTCTTGCATAGACAAAAATATATAATCAACATTACGGATGTTCTTTGTGTTCATAATGAACAGAACTTTAGAAATATTTAGAGTAGGTCATATGTTCATTGTCTTCTCAGTGAAAACATAATTCTTCAAAGTTCCTACGTTTGTAATTTATCGTACGAAATATAAAATGATGAGTAGAGGAAGCACATGATTTACACTAATCTTTTCTCATCGTGTTCACATTTTTCTTAGATACATTAAAGCTATTTTGGCTTAACTACACCGGCAGATATACAAATAACTCGTATATTCTGCTGCCTTATACCGCTTTTACGTGCTACTATCCATGTCCACTTTTTTATTTTAATATATTCCTGCTTATTTATATTCTTCACCAGCTATTGATGATCAGCTATTTCAAAATTTACGGGCTTCAAGATGGAGCATGAAATATATAGTTATACGTAGCTTAAATTAAACATTGAGCGTCCTTACCTATATTTGTTCGTGTGTTTATATGCTTCTTAGGATTATTTCAATCAAAAAATAATACCCCTTAAAAAGAGAGTATAAGTTTGATTCATTTTAAAATAACACGCTTCGCTTCAGTGAAGGTATGGAAGTTGAAGAGACTGGACGGATATTGTGATAGAAATTGAGATAGCAGATTACCTTGTTTTATTAGAAATGTCCGTATGATGCTTAAATTTTCCGGGTTCATATACTGAATTCATATTGATCATACTCATATCGAACAAAAGTTGTTCTATTAATATTTAGATTCGCCATTTCCTAGGTCAACGACTTGCAGAATGTTTAATTAAGCATGTAAGAGAGAATCCAATCAAATATAACTCGCTCTTTGATCTACAAAAAAAGCACTGACATTGAATCACAGATTTTTTTAGGATCATAGCAGTAAACGAATGATGTACAGTAAGCAGAAACCTAATGTATACCCATTTCTATAAAAGTAAAAATGTATAGTTTGGTTCTATATTCCCCAAACAAAACTTTGCTTAAAAATAATTTTAGTATATTGTAATGAATAAATATAATTAGTAGAATTTATGTTATTTTTTAAAGTAATTTTATCATAAATAAGTATTTATATATATATCTATATATAAGCGAAACGGGTTCAAGATGGAGTATGCCAGATCTCATGTAGGTGTATAGAATACGTTTATATATGTGAGGAGTCAAAGTACGTAAACACGCACTATTCGTATCGTTCAGATAAACTGTGAACACAGTTTGATATTTCTTTCAAATGTTTGATGTATGTATATTTACGCACGGAATTTCTACATTATGCATTTATAATAAAAAAGCTCTATTCCAACTTTCTACAAGAACAAATATATGAATATTGTTCGTTCTACTTCCATTCTAACATACTTTGAAAACTGCACACTAAGTACTAAAGCAATTATCATATATTAGATTCTTCAACTTATAATTGTATTTCTTTTGTTTTTGTCGTTTTTGTGAGAACTGGAAATGCCTGTATTAATCGTAATCAAACCGGGCAATTCGTGTGTACTAACATGTACTAAAATGCAGTACGGTTTGTCAGGCTTTCATTCTTCTTTATAAAAACTTGAAAGTAAGCGTTGTGATAGTTGGCATATAGAGTGAGAGGTTTAGTATTCAGACTAAAGTAGATCTCAGGGTCTTATTTTACATATGCAGTTATAAGATGTTAATGTGGAGTATAAAGACAAGAATGTTCATTTTTGTTACAATACATACTTTGTCATCAAAATGTGCATATCTATAATAATAAAAGAGCGTGCCTGTGTGTGTGTGTGACAGCAATAACTCCAAGAGGAAATAACTTAGAAAGCTGAAATTTTGCGCCCATGCTAAGTAGACCCTGAGGATGTGCACCTGGGCATTATTACTTATACACATGCGTGCGTGCAAGCATTATTTTAATGAGGTAAGCAAGCGAAAAACCACATAGAAAAGAAGTGGTTCCTTATATTACAAATAGAAATCACAGACAGACACACACATGTGTATGTGTGCGCACGTGTGTGTATCTGTGTATATGTGACCACCATAGCTTCAAGAGGGAAGAACCTAGAAACCTAAAATTTTGTACCCATACTAAGTGGACCCTGAGGGTGTACATCTGGGTATTATTACTTATTTTGGTGTTTGCGCATAATTTTATGAGGCAAGCATGCTAAAAACCACATAGAAAAGAAATGTGACCACCATATTTCAAAGAAGAAAGAACCTAGAAGCCTGAAATTTTGCAACCATACTAAGTGAACCCTGATGGTGTACACCTGGATATTATTACTTACCTTATTCACGTGCGTGGGCGCATGCACATCTCTTTAATGAGGCAAGCTAGCGAATAAACCGCATAGAAAAAAGTGGTTCGTTATATAACAATTTATAATATATATAAAAAAAACCAGTGCGCTTTGGTAACAATGCGTTCCAACGATGCCTCATATGTCATGTTGTTTAGTAACAAAAGTATATAGTTTATACTTTTATGCTAAAATGGGTTCAACATACACACACTCTCAACCCAATAACCCAAGCGAAGCCGAGTATTTTTGCTAGTTACAAATAAGAAAGAAAACAAATTTCTGCTTAGCGACATATGTCTTTTTTACATAAATATGCATATTTGTATAATTTAAGTTAAACTTGTCAGAAAGCCCATAGTGGAAATTTAATACTTGGTTTATTTAAATTTAAATAGAAAACAAGAAAGGAGGGGATGAAATTTCAATAATTATATGGGAAGTATAATGCATATCTCACGTAATACTGAATATTAAATAAGAGTTTTGATTTGATTTTAGTTAAGCACAAAGCTACACAAAAGGCTGGTTGTGCTATGCCCACCATGGGTATCGAAACCCGAATTTCAGTTTCTTAAGTGTGCTCACCGCTGAGCCACCAGATGGCATAAATTAAAGTATAAATGCACATTGTGGATGTTACCTAATAAGCATGGAGTGGGGATAAAGAAAAGTGGAATACGAGCTAAGTGTACGAGGCACAAGGCAGTTAAAAAGTCTTAGTTACCTTGAATTTCTGCAAACATTTTATTCAACCTCATGACTTGCGTGTGTATAATATTTATCACTGATATTTTTTTAATATCTTAGACACTTTAGAAAGTAATTATACTCTTTTATTGAATAAACATCTTGGTCTCACTAGTAAACTGTTACTCATGTAATGTTTTTTCATCAGCCCGCAAACGTTACTATAATAACTTTTTGCTACCTTTGCCATCATGTTTAGCGCAAACACACAAGAGTACAAAAAACGACTAATTGTAACTAGGTGGTGAAGTTATAAATGATACAAACCATTATCACAGTAAATACAAAAGGAAAAGTAAATACATTATAAAATTCACTGATTTTATATGTGAAACCTTTGCTTTACACAAAGCATTTCACTTTGTTTTCATGCTTCCTGTTCCCCGATGGGACAGCGGTAAATCTTCGGACATTCAACGTCAAAAATTCAGAGTTCGATTCCCCGCGGTAAACACAGCAAATAGCCCAATGTGACTTTGCTTTTAAAATAATAAACAAACAATCATGTTGCCATACAGTTTATTAGTGTACGATTGCGGAATATTTCTCATATATCCAGTATTACTCCCTACAATTACAAGTCAAGTTGTTTGGTCGCATTTTGAACATCTCAGTTTTTACATAAACCAACGTAGTCTAAACAATGTTCGTACATGGACTTTGTGCAGGCCAAACCATGGTTGTGAGTGCTTCATTGTCTTTTATACCGTTTACATATATTGTTTCACCACATCTGCTGCACCATTAGGACTCCCGTCTAATGAATCAGGCTCCTGAAGGAATGACATTGTGGATCAGAACCTGCTTGTATTTGCCAATAGTCAGGATGCTACAAATACATTTTATTTATATCATCGATACTGAAGACTGAAATGTAGTCTCTAACTTATATTGATCTCCCAACATGGTTCACTGTGGATGGTGTACATTGACTATGATACCGTTTTTCTCTTTCGCGTCGAATTAACGAACTAACATTCAATGTTGCCGAAACAATCAAGCTTGAATTCATCTGTAAAGAGCACACGTCTCCAATATTGCCCATTCTATTGTTTGTGATATAAAGCACATTTCAATTTTTCGGTATGGTTACCTCTTTTCAGCGCTGGTATTCGAGCAGCTACAAACCTCTATTAAGACCACTTCGTGCCAATTCGTAATCTACTCTTTTCGAGACACTTAACATCAGTTTAGGTAAGTTTCTGTTCTCTATCTTCTCCCTTTTATTAACAATTCCCCCTTAACGTACCCTCTTCAAAGCTCTGCATACAATCTTACTGAAACATAAAATCTTTACGTCATTTTTACGCATTCAGTATTCTTGACCAGCCAAAACATTGATTTCGACATGGCTGTAATATGATATTTTAGTCCTTGGAGACGTGACTGGCATATTTTTGCTGCTGGTGTTGCATATTATAATTTTTGGATGACAATCCACCGCAATGTAAACCATCAACATTTGCACATGATAAAGAGGATGAATTCCCATAGTATTTGCATTTTATACATTTCTTTCCTCACCGTTTGCATTTTACATTTTATGGCAAAGCTACTAAGGCTCATTGCCGTTATAAACAACGTTTCCAAATTCCGTGCTGAATTCTTTATGGTTCTATAATTTAATTAAATATTTTTATTAAAAATTTAATGATGCAATGGTAATAGAAAATCTTTAATCATTAGCAATTTGGAAAGGTTTGGCTTGCCTTGTATATCTTAGAATTGTATAAGTACGTGAATGATCATTTTTAAATTAATGCGCTACATTATAGAGATTTAACTTAAATGACCTCTGTATAGGATTCAAAACTTCCTTCCATATAAGATCTGTACTCTTTCTACACTGCCTACAATATCAGTTAATTTTGAATGTTGAAAATTTGCAGCTACTTTAGGGAAATAACGTAGCCATTGAGTATGCTATCAAATCACAAGCTCGATAATTAAACTTTATTGAACGTATAGATGGCATGAGGAGAAAATAATGTGGCAAGGTAGGTCGATAATCTGAAAACCGCAGCTACGTAAATTGTCTGACTTCTGAACAAACAAAAATGACAATTCCAATTAAACTCTAACACATCTCGGAACAAGAACGAAACGTAAATGACAAATATTAAAGAAATATCTCATAACAAGGCTTAAATGAAATGCATATGACTGCTTTATATTCATACAAAGCTACTAAGATGTACGCATTTATAAGAATTTTCCTTTTCTTGGCAAAAGTTTATGTTGAAAGAACATGATATATGAATAAATAAATATAAAAATATGAAAATTATTTTTTCTAAATAGATACGAATAAAATAGAAGATGAATTAAATTTCCTGAATGAATACGGGATTTATGAATACGTACGAAATTCTGAGAATATTAAATTGTACGATAATTTAAGAAAAGTGTATTAAATATTATATCTAGAAAATGAATGCTTTTGTGAGGAATATTTCACGCTTTCTGTTTCAGGTCTTTATAAGTAAAACTCATTATCTAAGAATTCGTAAACAGAATAAAATTGGTTGTAGCATTTTAGAATAAAACGTTTTGATAATAAGAATGATGTTGTTAAATATAAATGAAGTCTTGCTTTTTAATTACTATATTATTATATCGTAAACTCTACGTTTTGAATTCCATTTCAACTCATGGTCCATAGTGTCTTAGTTCGAATCATTTAATAAATGTTTGCCTTCTTATTTATCGTTTTTTTTTCGTTATGAAAATGATAGACGGTAGGATATTACATTTATTTATTGAATATCTTTTTCTCCCTGTAAGATGTTTGCAATCGCATTTATGTGAACATTGGCATCAGTTTTATTGTCCAATGAAAGCACAGTCATGTTCAAAGAATGTTCAGTCCATAAAATATGGTTTATTTCAGAAAATTAATTATTTAGATTTTAAATTAATTTTAGATGGAAAAAAAGATTAGTTTTATAGTTTAAAATATTATCTTTTTATCATGTTATCAAAGTTTGATTTGAAACTAATAATTTTAGTGCACATTATTTCGATACAGACTTTGAATTAATAAAGTAAAACCCAATCAGCTGTAGTTGGATATAACTTTTCTTTGTTTTAGAAGTTTGCAGCCATGAAAAACCGTGAACTTAAATAAAACGCCACTTGCATTATACAGAAACAATAAAAATATAATAAAGAGACAACAACATTTTATTGTTAGATATTGTTTCTGTGCTGCATCACTTCTCGTAATAAACTACACACATTTTCCCACTTATGTTATCAGTATAACTCAAAGTTATATACGTATTTTTATGTGTTATGGAAATGAAAGTTTCTGTTGGTCTTCTCGATAAACCTTTGTTGCTAGATTATGACTGTGGTTATTTTGGTCATTCATGATAAAAGATAGGCTGGAGACTTATTGCCATCTAGAAACAAAGGAAGTTCTTCAACAAAAACTAGTTGTCCTGTTACTCTGATTTTTTTTATATATAATATAATTTTCTGACAGTAATTCACAGTTTTGGCCAGACATGGCCAGGTGGTTAGGGCGCTCGGCTCACAATCTGCGGATCGCGGGTTCGAATCCCCGTCACACCAAACATGCTCGTCCTTTCAGCCATGGGAGTGTTATAATGTGACGGTCAATCCCACTATTCGTTGGTAAAAGAGTAGCCCAAGAGTTGGCGGTGGGTGGTGATGACTAGGTGCTTTCCCTCTAGTCTTACACTGCTAAATTAGAGACGGCTAGCGCAGATATCCCTCGTGTAGCTTTGCGCAAAATTCAAAACAAACAAACAATTTACAGTCCAAATTGAGATTATTTGAAACTTGCATTTTGTTAATATGTCGTAAAGCAGTTTCTCAGTATTAATTGTCTGTTCATGATAGAAGCTTATACACATGATTTTTTGAGTATGTCTTAGTATCCAAGTTTCTCAACAAATATAAATTATTATCACGTTAAGTATAATACACTAACTGGAAAAACAAATAATTCAAAATGAAACCACATTGTTAAGCAAGATATATATATATATCACCAAGTTTTCAGACGAAGTGAAATAGATGTTTAACTAACTAAGCTTCTCTGTACCTGAAGCCCCCTGTGGCACAGCGGTATGTCTGCGGACTTACAACGCTAGAAACCGGGTTTTGATACCCGTGGCGGGCAGAGCACAGATAACCCTTGTGTAGCTTTGTGCATAATTGAAAACAAACAAACAAACTGTACCTGAAATTAAAATAAGAACTTCTAAAAACAGGCAATAAACAAATTCTGAGCTTTACAATTTAGCTTAGTTGGAGACTCATGCTAAATTCCATCATTAATAACCAATGACTAAAAGTTTGGTTGTTTGTTTGCAGTTAAGCACAAAGCTACACAATGGGCTATCTGTGGTCTGCTCACCACGGGTATCGAAACCCGGATTATAGCGTTGTAAGTCGTCAGACATACTGCTGTGCCACTGGGGGGAGGATGTTAAAAAATTTGCAGTTCACTATATACATATGTATATATTCTAACGCATTTTCGTTTATCATTTTGTTACACTGTAATTTTTATGCACCAGCATAATGTATTAAAATAACCAAAACATCGCAGAATAGCTGGAAAAGTAATATGCTGTTCAACTCTACATGTAGAG